TACATGTTTGGGGTATAAGCACTCTTTGTAGACTCTTGCTTTAGGAGATGTGATGCTTTAGGTTAACAGTTAAAAAGCTTAATTGGGATGTGGCTCCTAGATACAAATCCTCATTCAAGAGATTTATCTGTATCAATTGTTGTTGATAAAATGCAAGAATAATCTTGAAGTGGGGGTTCAGAAACACTCCATGCCAGGATGTCTTAAATAACAGTGGTTAGTCTCATATCCAAAGGCCCTCCTRTAGTCAAACTAATTTAAGGGATCCCACCTTCTGAGCAATCATTGGGATTACTGAGTTCTGGAGATACAGGGGCTAATGAGAATCATGACACTGTTATTTCAGTTTGGCAAATTTTGTCCCACTCCAATTTTATATTCTACACATGAATGGCAAATAACTATTTATGAATTATTTTAAGATRACTGAAACAGTTTTTGATAGATGATTGAATGATCCCTCAAAAAAAAATTCCCYCAGATTATCTATTGCATATTTATAGCTGAAGGAAAAAACAAAATGGCCAAGAGTTGTAAAGCCACAAGTGGATATATGTGCAGACTCTCATAACTCAGTTAACCATAATTACTATATTTAAATCATTTCACTCCAAGCCAGGAAATATGCTTGAAAACATTTGAATTAAGAGAAGATAATGACTTGGGAGCCTGGTAAGGCTGGATAAAATTTTCAGACAACAATTATCATGGAGAAAATCTGAAACTAACTGTCCAAATACACTCACTGTTACTGAAGTGGAAATGGTAGGATAAAATACCATGAACATGGAATACTATCCTGAAAARGTTTACCTTTTGCCTTGTGCTAGATGAGCTTCTTTATGTTGCTTTCCTGGACTTTCTCCCGACATGTTTTCTGCAATAGTCAGGTTTCACTAGCAAGCATTTCTTTGTCCAGGAGCAATCCCAGGGGGRAAAAGGAAAAGAAAGTTAACTAAGATATGTATATCTCCTTGCCTCAGAGATTAAAAAAGGAGGCATTTAGAAAAGCCAAAAAAAGCCCACATAAAAACAAACAATCCAGCTTTTCTTGTAGACTTCAAAAAGGTAAAGGTTACTCCCAAAACTGTGTATAGGAAGAGCTTAGAGAAGCRTTTATCAAATTCTGTTTGGTTCACATCACACATCCCAAAATAACTCCCTGCAGCAGATGCAAGCCCACTAGGTAAAACAAACATGATGGTAGAGAAGAAGGCTTATATTCTTTGTCATGCACTTCTGTATTAAAAGCAATAATAAACATTTAATAAARTCTTAAATGGGAAAGTTAAGGATGCTCCTTGCTTCTCCTCTTGGCTGCCCAGGAAGAGAAAATGAACACAAGTGGAAGCAGATCCTTACACTACATTTTCAGAACCAYCAGAGAATACTAAAACTGCTAAGCGAGATGTGCTCCAGGGTGATCTAGCAGAAGACTTTRTTTCCAAGTCAAATCACAATACTTCAGACTCTGCACACAGCTCAGCCATCATGTGTATGTTGAACTCTGTTTTCAAACCACTGGTCTGAGCTACCACAGAGAAAATTTTCTCTCATCATCCAGCAAACAAGGCTGTAGCATTAACTGGTGCTGTAGCAGAGAGAAGTTGCCAGTCTGATTGTACCACCTCGAGTCTCTAAAACACCCTAGTGACACTCTAGGCAAAACTCTGCATCACATCACTGTCAATGATGTGACACCGGTGAGACCCCAGATCTACTCTAGTATAAGCAGAAACTATTCTATGTCTGTCTTAATTTTTTTTTTTTTTTTTTTTTTTTTTTTTTTTTTTTTTTTTTTTTTTTTTTTTTAAAGGAACCTCCACCCAAATCTATAAATCTCTGGGAGATTTTTCCATTCTGTGTTGGCTGTCTAGTCTATACAGGCACATTTATGCTTCATCTGTAGCTGGAAGATTTAAACCTCCAGGGCAGATGTCTTATTGAAACTTTTTTGATGGCCTTTGCCTAGTCAATGTGTTAGGGTAAAAAATGTGATTTTCATTAAGATAGTACAGAATTTTTTGAAAGATAAGCTGTTTCACAACATAACTCGAACTCRGAAATGATGAAAGAATGTGAGGTGGAGGCTCTCCCTAACACAACAAATTTCCCCCAGGGGRTGTAGCTGAGGACTGAGTGGGATTTTTTCTTTCCCCAAAGAGCATATGAAGTTTGCTCATTGAATTTGGATATTCATGTGTTTCTCTGGGAAGAAAAAGCTGCTCTGTAAAAACCTGTCAGATCTTTCACAAATCTGGAGGTCTGCCTGTTGGAAGCAGAGTTATATGAGAAATAACTTGTGAAAAATAATGTGATTCTACTTYAGATCCGTGAAGAAAAGACAGAAGACTTCACCATGTACTACTAAGTGGCAAAAACTGAGYTTGAAATTGCTACAATATTGAGTTTGCTACAATATGCCTGAAACAGATCACCTGCAGTCATTGGAACTCTATCACAGAAGCAGCAAGCTAGCAAAAACACACACTGATTCAACCAGGAGACAATGAAGAACTCATCAGTTTGCACTTCATACAAGGTAAGATTTCAAATAGAAATGCARTATTCCTGTCCTGATGCAGTATCTCTCCAATCTACATTCTTCTTCGTCTGCTCACCATGACTGAGTGCACTTTAACAAGGCTGCTGGTTACACAGAACCCAAACTGTCTTGGGGCATGTWTAGAACTCTGAATGAACAAGATTTTAGACCCTTTCTGGTTCATTAGCATCCATGGCACATGGCTGACCTGCAAATAATGTATTCAGAGGCTCATGGCTTGAGCAGAGCAGGAGCAGAGCAGGACAAGGGGGGCAGTGGCTGAGCCCACCTGTCTTCAGAGGTTGTTTTCCCTTTGAAGAACAAGAGCTCACAGAAAACGCTGGGAAAGGGAACAGAGAATGATCCTGTGGGGTTCATGTTAATTTACATTATCTAATCCAGTCTAAATGGAAAAGTTCATTTATTTCAAGAAAGCATTCTGGGGAGACTAGGAGAATGCCRTGTCTTTTGTTGCAGAGCTTGTATAAGACAATGACAAGAAGAAGCATTCATGGGAAGCCTCATACAGAATGATGCATAAATCTAGTTCTGAAAAGACATTTAGATCACAAATGAAGTAAAGCTGGAAGTGTCCTACAGTCATTCTGCGCTTTAAAGCATACCACAGAAGATGGCATAATTTATCCTCATCTGAATWAACAGGAAAACTTCAGGCACTTACAATTGTGACACAAGTTCATAGTGATGAAAAAGGTGAAATATTAATATAATTAATTAAAAGCCAAAATAATTGAAAAAAGTGGTTCTATGCAAAATTTACCTCGAATGAAATAATTTATCTTTTATTATGCATTAAAAGGTCACTCCAGTAACTTGATAGCTGAGCTATAGTTAAAAATCTGGCCTCACTCAAATGTGAAATTCCAATTTTCAAGATTATTTCTCCTCTGCTGTTTGGACTGTTAATATATTTTCTATACTTGTCAGAATTAACTCTCTCTCTTTAAATGACAATGGCATTTATACTGAGACCTAGAGCTTCAGCCAAGTTAATATAGACTTGGTTATTGAGTTTATTTCCCTCCAATATGCTCTCTCCYAATTCTGTCCACACTAAATCCAGTTTCCTGCTCTAGCATTGAGTTACTTCCATGGTTTTCTTTTGGGATGGGTTGTTTTGAATATGTTTATGCTCAACACATCAAACCAATTCATATAGCTCTCAGAGTTKTCTCCATCTTTTGACTTCTATGCTATTCTGAGTCTCTAGGTCTTCAACCCCACTGTCAAAATCTGTCACATATGACTTGCATTTTTACTCTCTCAGTTTTTCCTTATGATCAACAATTGGCCCTATCCTCTTGGCTGTTGCTTGTTGGAAGCATTGTCAAGGCAAATATTTGGCTGTCTCAGATAGCAGGGGTTGTGAATCTGCATGCACACCTTTTATCCACTACCCCTCAGCATTTTGGAGCTTTCTCCCAAGGCCAATGCATTTGTCACTAGGAAAGCCCCTGTAGCACTCAGCAGAATTCCTTGATCACTTGCCTTTCATGACTGTGCCCTTCATAAAATCTGATAAGACATGGCTGTTGCATTAGTCACCTACTCCTACTGTAGCCCATGATGAGAAGCAGGCCTGTAACCCTCTCTCTTTAGGAAAATGATAATTCTTAAACAGGTATTTTTTTCCTATTCAATACTCAACCTGAGATATAGCATGATTGCCAAGATAAGCTAATAATTTGCCTATCTCCAGATAGGTCTGAATCTGATCTCTGATAGCAATGTCTAAGCCCAAAAGGGAAATTTCCTACAGCAGCAAAATTTTSTGAAAATTTCCCTGTACTGCTGTAATAGTAACAGCTATTGTGTCTCTGCTGGCTTCTATGTTCAGAATGTTCTCTGACTTAATGGTGTGGAGCAAACTCCTGATTTACATCTATGGTGATTTTTGTCTGCCTGAGAACCCCAGTGTAGRTACTGATAATGTAGATACAGTATCTTTGCAGTGGAAAATTACATTGAAAGAGGAAAGATGTCTGAAAGTGAGGGCAAGTCGGGGTCTTCTGCTGCTATTATTTCTACAGCATCCAAGAATTCATATTAGACTCAGTTAAACACCTTGACTTCCTTTTCATTGACATCCGTATCTCTAATTCATGTTGACATTTAAGGTTTGCAAAGAAATTTGAAATATCTATTCAGTTTAATCCATTTTCAGTTTGCGCTGCTGATACTGCACTATCAAGAATCTCACTGTGACTGCTTACAAAAACCAGGACGGACAGTTCCTGTTTCCCAGAAGGATTATTMGGATTTTTGTAACCATAATTAATAATGCAAAACTCAAGTGTCCCCCCATTGTCATTAATAAACTTATTACTTGCATTCAGCCAGTAGCACTACAGGTGCTCGAATGAATAGGAAGTTTGAAAAGGAAGTGTGAAAAATAGACTGAAGACTGCGCAATGTTGATGGTAATCATTATGTTTCTTTACAGAGAAGATGAAGAACTCTCTGCTCGCAGCTATCTTTTTGCTTTTCAGAGGTGAGTTTTCACGTGCTGCACAACTTACTGCCATTTACAAACTAAAAACTCTTAATGCTGCTGAACGGTGGGGCCATACGAACAAAAGCATGACTTAAATTCTGTGGATAGGAGAAACAGCCACCAACTTTTATTTCTTTCATGGTTGTCTTGATCAACAATTCCTTCTGTTGGTTTGTTTGTGCTCTGCAGCTTGGTGCCGCTGCGCAGACTGGGAATCTTCGTTCTGCCGGCATCTGCCAGGTGGGT